CCACTTGATGGACTTGAGTCACAATGACAGTCAAGTACGCAACCATTAACAAATGTGCATGCTGGACAAATATGTACTAGTAAGTAACACCTACTGGCAAATCCGATTCCCGGGTTTTTTTCAATTCACCAACCTCTTCTTTTCTACACAAGAGACATTAATTCTTCACGTCACCACCAACTCATCTCAAACTCATATCAAGGAGTCCTCAGACTGTGGATGTTGTAGTATAGTTATGTCTCTATCATTACATATATATTTAAAGTGTCCCTATGGAATATAATCTCGGGATGTCCTCTTTCCTTCCCTGTAGTCGGAGAGAACCCAGTCCTCGACTCCCCCGTCCCAACCAAAGGAGACGGGAAACAACGGGCAAAGAACAAATAAATAAGAAGCGCGCACTCAAGCGAACAAAGTCGAAACTGAAAAGAAAGCAAAACAATGGGCGGACATCTCTCTCCCCCTGGGATCAGCTGTCCTCTCTCCTCCTATCTCGGGTATCATTACTCTCTTCCATTCTCGACTTCTCTTCTCTCCTCTCCTCTTCGATTCTTGACTTCGTCGTATGTCCTCTCTTCTCCTCTTCTCTTCCTCACGTCTTCACTAGGCCCCTCCTCTTTACTCTTTCCTCCCCCTTTCCCCCCACTACAGCCAATGGAAGAGAGCTGATTGACAACACGCATGTGACGATGACGATGTCAACGTGTCTGCGCAAAACAACCCCCAAATGTATTCGCGACTCCAAGAAACTTTGCTCCGTCGGCTATGCATAGTAATGACGGTGCTTATGATGATGAGCGAGTTACCAAAGGTGAGGTAAAAAAAAACACGGCTTTGAAACACAGACGGAAGGAAAAGAAGCCACACTCAAAAGAGCCTCCAGCTGGGGGGGAAATGGGGGAGGAAAACCACGAGGGAAATACGTGTAAGCCCTTGCTCACAACCATAATAACCACCTAACAGCTCCCACAACCCCCTGCCCGACACCCCAAAATACTCGCAGGATCATCACGACAAACCACACATACCACATGAACCCCACAAGCACCCACTCGACAGCGAGCCACATGGCGCGACGGACCCAGCGGAACCTACGTCTGCGCCGCCGCAGCATGGCCTCGATGACGTCGAGCGTGTGCTTGATCTTAAGCCGCTGCCCCAACGTGAGATCGCGGCTCGTCTCGTCCGCCTCGTCGGCCGCCGCCCGCGTCATGGCCGAAAGGTCCGTCGCTACCCGCCGGCGGACGTCCTCCACGCGGCGGTGCAGCCCCGGGACGGTGTCGGCCACAAAGTGGTCCGCCGTCTTTTGCCAGTCCTGACCGGCGCACTGGATAGATTTGCCGAGGGTCTTGGCGGCAAACTGGTACAGCTCCGTCTGCGGGACGGCCTTGTTGCGCAAGCTGGCGGGATCGGGGCTGAGCTCTGCAATCTTGGGCCAGAAGACGTTCGCGACCTGAACATCGTTCTGGGACGGCGTCTGTCGGTTTGCAAACGCTAGTTGGGGCTCATTGGCGCGGCGGGTAATCTCCATCGCTTTGATGCCGGAGCTCAAGACTAGGGCGCGGAGTCGTGCGACTTCACGCTTCGACATGGGCGCTCGGTCAGGTGCGGGACTATGGTCAGAGATGGACCAGTGTCGGCTTCGATTGGAGGAAGACCCAGGACGGCCGTTGGGTGGAAATGAGGGCGGGATGGCGATGATTTTGTTGAGGCGCTTATCCGCCTCTTTCAAACCAGCACTGTGGCTGCCTGACAGCGGCTCGCCCTCCGAGACATCCGACAAGCGCTTCGTCGATCCGAATGATGAGGTTGGAGATGCACTCAGGATGTCGATACGCGGCGGCTTCAGCCTGTCAAAACGAGGCGACTTACGGCTTGCTGACGGCGGCGACGTGTCCGGAAGTCTCGCTGGCTCGCTCTCAACGTGCCTCAGCTTCTCGTGAGAAGATTCAAAGGCTGGCATGATGTCGAGGTAGTTCTTGCCGTTCTGCTGGCGCATACCCTGACTCCGGATGGAAGCTGTCCTGGAGAGGGGCGTCTCGCCTCTTTTCCTGCCTCTCTGCTCGGTGTCTGATTCATCCGTCGTGGTGCCCTCGGCTTCGGACGGGCCATCGCCAGTCTCTGACTCCTTACGCCAGATCAAATCACCGAGCTTTGACACACCACCACGTATAACGTTATCGATGCGGGCCCCTTTGAATAATCCTCGCATTCCTAGGTCGTCGCTGCGCAGCTTGGTGCTAGCAACACTGCGGTGAGATTTGTGGCTTTCGCCTGTCGGACGTTGGGTGACTTTCCGAGGCGGGCTTCTAGACGACCCCCGCCTCTCCATCGATCTCCGGTCTCCTGACGATTCCGGTGAGACCTCAAATGGAGTCTTCGGTGCGCTGGCCAGATCCTCTGCGCTGGATCTCTCTTCTGAGATGCGCGAGCCCACTCTTTCCTTGCTACGCTCCCGGAAGATCTGCTTCACCTTGGAAAAGGGGTTTCGAGTTGGGGAATTAGCCCGACTTGATCCCGGTGAAAGGTCGCCGCCGAGTGCGGGGATAAAGGGGTCTCCGCGAATGGCGCCGTCCGGAGAGTTGGGGAGAGACGAGTCGACTTCGAAGGAGCTTCTCCTCGCGGGCACCGGGATTTCCAAACTCGACCGTCCCATGCCGCGTTGAAGGTGCAGCGGAGTGAAGCGAGGCTTTTCCTTACTCTTTCTCTCATCAGACTCGCTCACCTCCACGATAGATGCCTTCCGACTATGTTGCCGTGATTGTGGATGTGAAGTGACTCCAGGATTTCGCTCCGGTGTTACGTATCCTGATCCATCTGGCTTCTTGGGGCTGTTTTCACGCGCCTCTTTGGCAATCATTTCGAGCATCTGCTTCTCTAAAAGGTCTTGGTGACTGCTGGTAAGCGTACCTGTCCGATTCCTCCTCTCCTTCCTAAGCTTGCCTTCGTTCTCGCTCTCGGACAGGTCAGAGACCGAATTCTTGCCGTTTTTCCAGTCATAGTGGCTATGCACTGAGTTGCTGTGCCTATGATGATGGTGGTGTCCAGTAAGATCGTGTAGCTTCTGGCGGGCACGTTCTCGAGCGCTCCCGGTGGAGTGTTCCGTATCCGACTTGGAAAGCCCCGTGTTGCTGGTCTTGGGATCGATGACGGATCCTATGCCTTCGTAGTCCCTTCGCCCCGGTGTTTGTCCCGAGTCGCTGCCATACTCGTCGTTCTGCCCAGACAGAGTTCTATACAGTTCAACGTTCTGAGGGAAAATTCGACGCCAGTGGCGATCCTCAATCAGCTGCTTGTGGTGATCTTGCTCGAGCCAGTACACATCAGCGAGTAGGTCCGCTGCGTCTATCGTCCAGTCCAGCCTTGGTCTTCTCGGCTTGTTAGCACTGGTGGTAGCTTGAAGAGCATTTTGTTGTTCCGACACGTCTGCATCTGTAAAAGGCGGCAGCATGCAGCCGTCTGTACTCATCTGTCCCGTTGCGGCCCATTTGGCTACCTCGTCAACCCAGTCGGCGACTTTAATAAAATCTCCGAAACCCTGAGCCTCGCCATCAATCGCCTTGCGCTCTCGAGCTCGCACTTTTCTGTTTCTGATGTATTGCAGAGGGTTATATGGGCGCCCCAGCCGCACGCTTCCATCGGTACTGCCGTACGTCGGAATCCTCGCAACTCCTCCGGAGGACGTGGGGGGACTGGCGGTCGTTGGACGGCTTTGATTGTACGTCTGTATGGGTGGCACCAGCTCCAAGAGGCGCCTGTACTGGGCCATGAGCTCGAGGTGTTCTTTTGCCTTTTGGACTCGTGCCAAGGTTGACGCGGTGAAGTGATTCCGAAAGGTGCCTTCCCGGCTCATATCGAACGTCGCCTGCAGTGGGCTGCTGAGCATCCCGGCGGAGGGTAATCGCGGCGTCAGTGCCTTTTCAGGCCCCGGAGACCTCGTCCTTGACATTCTTCTCTGTTGTTGGTAGTGATTTTTGAGGTTGGCGCCCGTCGGGCCGTCTGGAAGTTGTGCCAACGTCGGCACTGCCTGGGGTGGCGCAATCCTCCGTGACACCTGCCGTCGGGATTCGCTCAAGTTGAGGGCCATGTTCACGATTTGCGCCGAGTCGATATCGAGGGGTGAATTTGCAGGCGGTGCGAAGCTCATTCCCGACACGGGTCTACCGTTAGACGCATCCCGTTTCTTGACCGTCAGTTTATTTGTAGGTTGCGTCGGCGAAGAGCCCCCATTTCGTCTTGGCGGGCTCTCGAGCCCAGCGAGTCCGAAGCCGGCCTCGCGACCAGCGCTGGATCCAGACTTATCCGATGCCCTCCCCGAGTCTTTCGTCCTTCGGCTGGGAGGAATGTTTCGCGTTGTATGCCGTAGTCGGGGTGCCTGCTCCTCCTCGGAATCGTCATCGTTGCGAATGGCATCCTGTAGCAGGAAGGCTCCGTTAGAACGATGCCTAGGTGCTTTTTGCTTCCTCGCATCCCTTCCATGGTATCCATTTGTATGTTCAGCATCTCTCGGAGTCGATGAAAGTGGACGGCGACCGCTGGACTCGTCGGGCGATGGCAAAAGCGTCGTGTCGTTGAGGAGGCTGCCGGTGGCACTCGACTCGCCCGTCTCGTAGCTACCCCTGCTGCTTCCCCTATCGCCAGGCATGGAGTGCGGGCTCAGCGTCCTCGTGAGACTGGCACGCTGCTGGGCGGCATCTTTCTCCGTCATGGCGGCGAAGATGCTCGCATGGCCGGCCAACTGGGTTACGTTTCACCAGCCCGTCTTCGGTATCGACGCTGTCGGTCGTCGCTATCGCGTGTCGCGGTACGGTATCTATTGTCCGGTCTTCGGATACTGGGCGGCGAAAGTGGCGGTTGGAAAAAGCTGAGGGGACCTTTAGGGGTTCGCGACTCCCATCGTACTCTGGTTCGATGCAAGGGGGTGGGCAGATTCAAGACGAGTCAAAAAAAAAAGCCAAGGACGGAACACCCCATGTGAAGGGACGAAAGGTGACGAAGATTTTGGGAATGTTGGCGCTGATTCGTCCGAGCCGAAACAGGGCATTGACATGTGCCAGCTGAGCATAGGTTGGCGTCGATCTCGCTGCCCAGGATCGTGGCAGTCCAACTTCCAGTAGTAGTGCAGGAGTACCAGTGGCAGCGGCAGCGGCAGGAGCAAGCAAAGCGGCGAGCACACGGACATTCACGGCCCAGGGTTCCCATCGCCTACCTTATTACGCAGCCCAAAGCCTGGCAGCAGTATCCGTAGGTAGTGTAACGCTACCGTGGCGTTGCAGCCGACCACGCTAATACTTGCTCCACTTCAGCGACCCCACACATGCGAAAGGATGGCTCCACCTGATTCGGCAATCGCCGGAGCGGAACATCCTCCAGCCCCGGTCAAGGAGTGACCCGGGTTTGGAGAAACTAGGACCGGTATGGGCGAGCGGGGGATCAGCCGACCAACGGCACGACAGACAAAGAGCTTTTTGTCTAGCATGCTTTTTCTTTCCCAACGTCTCTCAAGCTACCAGACGCCCCGACGGTGCCATGTTCCAGTTCATGGTACGTCTTTTAAGCGTCATCGAGTCGTTGAGCGCGCTAAGCCGGGAGATAAATGGATCCCCTCCCCCCGATCCGCGCTAAGGTTTCCCGCGTCAGACCGCCATTGCATCTGAAAGGATCTCCCTGCTTGGACAGAGCGTTCGACAACTCTCAACCGCAGCTTGGCGAACCTATCGCCTATGCGCCTAGAATTGCAGCATCCTGGCTTCCTTTTGCTGTTGACGGCAGTCATCGCCTTCCACTGGCATTTCATGGGAATATTTGTGTCAATTTCGCTCTCATATCACATATTTCCAACGTCACTTGTTCAATCTGATACGTAGAAGTGACATAGAGAGGGGACAGATTATTATAGCTCTAGGGGGAATAAAAAACTCCAGTTAGGGTCTTTTTGCGCTCCTGACAAGTAGCCTGTCACCAGTGTCGCCCACCGTCCCCTCTGCAAGCTTCCGTCCCCCTTCAGTGCGAGCCAGAGCAATTCATACAAGAATCCAACGCGGAGCCCGTTCCTGTGTACCTACGGGCTCGGAAAAAAACACCAACGACAAAGTTGCAGCCTGTCTCTCGTATTTGAGTGACCTGGGGTATTGGGGTATCTCACCCTAACCAACTTAAGCGTGAACAGGGGACTTGTACTCAGAGAAGAAGCGCTCGTGGATGCGGCCCATGTACTCGACCAGGGCGGGCTTCTCACGAATGAGAGCGGCATGGACGGGGTTACTGTTTCGGGCTGTATTAGCTTTTCGTCTTTGTCGCCGCAACGCAGCCATTGCCAGAAATGTGCGAGTACTTACACACTGGTACCCAGGACAGTAGCGAGGTTACCATAGACAATGAAGTCAGCTTCGGATGGGCGCTGGCCGCCTAGGATCCAGAAAGGCTCCCGGGACTCCCGCGAATCGAGACTCAGCTTCGACAGTGAAGTCTCGCAGAAACCGTTCAGGGACATGACGACGTCGGTGGCGAAGGCCTTGACCTCATCGCCAGAGTAGCGGCCAACGCCCTGGAACCACAACTGCGAATTGACATAGCCACGAGCTGCCTGGGTCGAAATCTGCTTCGCACCCCAGACGAAGTGGGAAAAGGGGCCGTCGTGCCACATCATCTCGTACTGGCCGCGCCATCTCTCGTACAACTGTGTTAAGTATTAGCATGGGCTTCTCGGCCTTCACCAACGTGCTACGTTTTCTCCTTACGATGAGGAAATAAGCGCGGTCCTCCAGCATGGCTCGGATGCAGGCATCCTTGGCCTGGTCGGAGGGGGAGAGCTCCTTGTTGAGGTCCTGGAGCTTGCCGGTCTGCACAAGACGCTTGATGATGAACTGCGACTCGCCCACAAGCTCATCCGAGTCGGCAAGCTTGACGTAGGGCACCCGGTACTTGGGTGCCTGGAAGATGTTGGCAGCGCGGTCCACGTGCTGAATGCCGGCATGGCGAAGGCGAAGGCGCAGTTGAATAGAAAAGGGCGTGTATCCGTACTGGCCAGTGGGGCGATCGAAGCTGTAGATGATCAGATCGTGTCCAACTCCCTTCTCCACTGCGGCCTCGTCCTCGGCAGCTTCCCTAAGCTTGCGCGGCAGGTAGCGCTTAAGAGCCAAGGCATTCTGCTTGGCGTTCTGGGCTCCTGCAGGTGCGGTCTTCATTGTGAAAAGTGCGAACGGGGGGGTATATGGGTATCTTTGGGGGTATCTCTGGGAATTCAATGAATAACTAACTGTTCTATGCTGCTGTAGATCACAGGCGGCTTCGAGCTGTATTATTTATTGTTTTCGATACGGCTTCGCAGGTGTTCGACACGGACGGGCAGCTCGGAGCTGCTGGAGCTTTACAACATGGTAGGTGCTGGTGGCAATGCAATGGAAGCCCTTGGTTCCCGAAACATGGCCCGAGTCAGACCTACAAGTAAAGCGAGGACAAAGCTGAAATATCCCATGTCTGTCTTGCATGAATGCAAAATCAGATGGATTATTGCAAGTGGATAGTAGAGGTGCCTCGCAAAGGAAGAATCTGATGGCCACGTCATAGCTGTTCCATGTTGAGTTGGCGGACAAGCCTAAGAACGAGGCTAAAAGGATGCGAAGTGGTGTCTGAAGGTGCATCTGGATTTGAGCATAACCCCGACTTGTTTGTAGGGATATCGCGGCCATCCCATAGCCTCGTCTCCCCAGCCAGTTTTTGAGCTCCGTGGCCGTCGCGATTCCTGCCCGCTCAATCGCCAAACCACCTGACCCCAGGTTTATGCCCAACTCAACCTAAAACACAGTCACCGTGTTAACATGATCGTTCTTCAGTACCTCAAACACGAGACCGGGGAATCCAAATAGAGTAGTGGTTGAATCGTCGCTACCATCGAACCTCTTGGCGCCACTGTCTTCCCAGCCTCCGAGAAACTCGCAGCTGCTGCCGGGGCTGTCACCCCAGCCCCTGTTGAGCACCATGCCTCTTTGAGGGGCGCTGGAATCGCCTTCAGGGTACGCGCTATTCCACCGTTCGTTCAATCTGTCTTTGATTTCGGTGAACTTGGTCTCCGAATTGGCCGCCACACCGGGAGAGCCATCATCAAGATAGCTTACTTCCCAGCGGCAGCGACGGTGTCTGTTGAACTCATAGGAGCCAGGTACATTGCCATGAAGAACCAGCTTCGTAGCAACTAGGCGGTCAGGAGACTCTGACTTGAAAGGTTTTCCGGGTGGCACTTGAGACTCGTGCTGAGATGGCGGTGGTCTAGATGGCGGCGAGGGAGTAGACACCAATACATCAAATCCAAGATAGAAATAGTTATAGAAACATTCGCCAGAAACGTTCCCGGCAATGTCTTCTTCGATGGCTTCGTCGTTGGAATCGTCTGAGCCAGTGTTGGCAGACGATTGGTCAGTGTCAGTCAAATCGTCTGGCCGACTCAGGTCAGCGCCGTTTGACCGAGCTCTGCTGTGGCTCGCCGTCCGAAGCTTGTGTATTGTCATCCTCTGGTCGTTCTTCCGATAAGTAGCGTTTGGAGGACCGAGCTCCGCAATCAACTCCTGGGGGCTAGTCTCTCCCAGGATAACCCAAAGTGATGAGTTTGTCCATTTGCGGAACAGCTGGAGCTTCCCACCACCATGAATCTTGACCAGAGAGATTTCTTCGGGAACAACATCCTTCCCTCTTGGAAGAGCGGGAATCGTTTTGATGCTCGGGAGAACCTCTGTCCAAAGGCTCTCTCGAGCTTGGGCCCATGAGTCTCCGCTGAAGACAGCCATGGAGGTGGGCACCTGGCTTGCCGCAGCAGACAGGAGCGACACAACGTCCTTGTTGGGCGAGTATGCGGATTCGGCCAGTCGGAAAGTAAAGGCAACGCCAGGGTAGGACAGTATGTAGTTACCCAGGTTATCGGGGGAATCGGGTGTAGGGGGTATGTACTCTCCACCGTAGGTTGGTCCGAGCAACCGGTGGTAAATTTGTCGGAAGGTTGGGCCGGAGCTGGATTCTCCGGGAACTGGAGACGATGGCGGCCCCTGCGCGTTGGCGGGCTTGACCAGATCGCGATCCTTAAAGGTGACATGGTTCTTTGTGAAATCGACAATCTCTATCAGGCGCAGACGCTGCTCCGGGCCGTCGAATCGTAGGCGTATACCGTTGGCAGGGAGGCTCAGAGTCACGGGCTGTTCGACAGGCAGCTCGCGGGAGTAGGCTAGGTCGAGTTGTGGAAAGCGTTGCGGTTCGGCCTTCAGTCGCGTCAAGACATCATGCAAGGACGCTCCAAGAACTAGGGGACAAGCAATAGAGTTAGCGTCCGAGTGTGTTCTGTAGCAGGCAGAGTTTATGCAAACCGAGAAATCCTAGAGCTCGTCCTGGGTGCAGTTGCGCGGTGAAGAGCGACATGATGAGCGATAGGATCGGGGATCAGCGCGGGGTCCGCGATGTGTTCAGGGTGGCGCTGTTGCAGGAACTGCTTTGGGGTCTATAATGGATAGGGTGGCATGTGAAGTGTCTACTGGTCGTTTTTGCTATGTCTTGCGCAAACGATTTATGGATGTGTAAAGAAGAGTGTTCCGAGAGTCTGCAGTGCAGACGGCGCAAGTTGTCTTCCGTCGTTGTTCACGGGTCAGTCAGAGGGGTTCATGTGATGCTGCAACAGTGACAACGGACTAGCGGGGCGTGGGGTCGGAAAGAGACGTCACCCGGCCATCGGAGGTACAAGCTACAGTATGTGGGGTCGGGTTGGTAACTCTGGCAAATCAGCATCATCTGTGAGAGACGCAACAGATCCATACCTTATGCAGGGGCCATGAGCTCTTATCTAATCAGTCAGCAAGCTCCAGTTGTGCCTTGTCGGTGGGTGCTCTGTAACTTGTAAGGTAGGTACCTAGGTAGCCGCAGAACCAGTGGGGGTGGGGGGAGCTGTTGGGGGCGACTGAGCTTCCTTGGCAGGCGTAACAAACCATACCTACCAAGCCTGTCTACACTCTAGAGGCATTTGAAAAGCGAGCACTAGGCACCAAGACAAGGCAAAGAACCTCAAGGCAAGCAAGCACTTGCCAAGCAAGTTGCCAAGCAAGACATTTGCAGCTCGCTTTGAAGTACGTGTTTCGCCTGGATCCTTACACGCGGGGCGGCCAACGAACCTGGCATCAACACCATCTTACGCTCATGCCAACACGATCTCTTGGCTCTATAGGGAATCGCCTCTACCACCAGCCTTCATGGCTTTATCGACAACATGAGAAATATTCTACACACCTTTTCCAGCCAGCGGGAGCCAATAGACAGGCTCGCCAGAGACCAAGACACATCCAATGACACCGGACAGCCTTCCGGAAAGTCTCTTCAGTCTCCTCATACATTTTTTCCGGCTTCTCCACCGGCTTTCCTACCGACTCTGCATAGGAATTATCCCGTCTCTGCAACAAGTATGCTTGCGACAGCCAGCAAGATGCTCCATTCGGTAGTTTTGCTCTCTCGCCTGAAGTTGGGCACAGAGAAACCTCCAAGGCCTGATGGCCACAGACCCTCGTTCGACGAACTCTCACTCTGTTTCACCTATTCTTGTTAGTGCAATCTACCACTTTACAGGGATGGTCCATATTCTCGCGGATCTCTAACGCCATTCAATCAACCTCCTGGCCAACCCTCCCTCCACTACGGCTTGCCCGGAGTTGACATCGACACATGAGGTGCCGCACACTCCTTAGTTCTCGATATGCGGCCTGGACCACTTCACAAGCAATATTTTCAGCCTATCACCGCCATCATTTCATCAGTCTTGAACTTAGAGTCTTACCGTTGCTGTCATTGTCTCAAGCAGTGCCTTGGCTTACCCTCGCCTTGTCTCGTTTCCGAGAACCCATCGTGCTGCTCAGGTCAATTAAGTACATTAACACAAGCGCAGAGCGTTGCTGTCCCAAATTTCGCCTCATCTCCATCTACCGCTGGAATTATGCCACGATAATCGGTTTGCCGCGGGACTCGTCCCTCGTCTTCGGATTCGCTCTCCGTCCCAATTGACTTTGCTTCCCCTCTCTAAGCAGATCTAACCTTGGGAGTCGGCCTTGCTCCGTCCGGCGATCTTTAGTACTGCTGCTGCTGCTCTATAGTTATCACAGCTGGAGCCCGTTGAAGCTCCGCGAGTCCTGACAATCTTTTCTGAGGCATGACAGTCTCTAGCCATGGGCAGCAGCAGCTTCCTCGCCGGTCTATTGACTCTTCACATCCATCCCAGGATAAATGGTTAACCACTAGCAAGCTAGTTGATACCTTTTCTCAGGAAACCCACTCCAAATCACAGTATCCCACGAATCCGCTGCGAGAAAGATGGTGGGAACAATAGCTGTGCACACTTGGGGCTTACGTTGCAAATACGGGCAGACAACTCAATGTGGGCAAGCGACCACCACCACGCGGATCGAAAAAAGCATGCTGCAGCATAGCTAACGGCGTTAAACCAGGCTCCCACGATGGGAAAGACGAGGCCAGCATGCACGATCCGCAAGAATCCCGTCGCTCGACCTCGTGGCATTTTCCGTAATTTGAGTGCTTCCATGCATCTTCTGGATCATGACACTTCAGGCGGTGTCCGTCAGAACTTGCAACGAATGCGGTCTTCCCGATCCGGGGTATGTTGCCATTCATCGAGTTCCGCATGTCCATTGAGCTAGGTCGATCATGCGACAATCTGTCTGGTAGGGTATACGAAGGATTCTCGGATGTATTTGGACCCTCTGGTCAGTTTCCTTTGGCACAGATTTCCACTGACTTAGCCAAACAAGATCGACAGCTTCCACGGCAGAGGTGCCGGTGCCACAATCAGTCCTTGACTCGAATCTTCAATAAAATGCGTGCCTGTCCGCCAATGTCGCTGCTCTCATTCTTCGTCCTACAGCTCGAAGTATGGGCCCTTGTAGATTGGCATCGGCGTCAGCACACAGTTTCAAGACGATGAGTGTGCCAACCGTGCGATCACGCACAGATATTGCTTCAGAAGTCGCTTGAGCAGTTCACTCGCCCTCTGCGATACTAACCATTGGAACCAGAACCATATGGCATAGTTTACTTGGAGGATGCGTTCATGCCCAACGTAGGCGCCTTTGAGCCCTGCAGGATCAGCGCTTGTATCCGGTTGATTATCAGGAGCAACCCAATCCAACTTCAGTTACCCTACTGTTCCGGAATTATGAAGGTCATCGGCCTTGCAAGACTTCGAAAGCTGGCTTGGACTTGCCTCAGAACAACTGCTTAGCGCAGAAAGTTGAGCAATTAGCCAAGGATGACAGTATTGCAGCCTCATTGAAAAGTTCCAGGCCACTCCAAATGGCTTTCCGTCGAAGCTTGTCTCGAGGCAATTTTATCCACAAAATACTCGCCTCATTCTTCACGCCAGGATATGTCAAAGTTTGATCCGGTTTGTGAGAGCAGCTACCGCGGGCGAAAGGGTCCACCTCGCGCAATCGTGCAACAATGATCAGAGGGCAGCTTCTGAGCCCTGACACCAGCAGCGTGAGTCGGCCATGCCGTCTTCATCTACATCGCATCAACTACTGGCCACAGGGCTTCTTGAGCAACGTGCGACAGCTTGATTACGATGAAGCAGTCCGGCACTCGGTGGAAGGCGTTCGAGCCTGGGCGGACGCTGGTTTAGTCCTTGATGAAACGGGCTTGAGCAACTATGGCCCATGAATTTGCACTCATTCTTGAGTCTAGGACATTTGTGATCTCGGGGTAGCCTATTTGTAGCTCTGGGGCCTTCGGAGGTTGGGAGAAGCAAGCTCTCCGTAGAGAGTGGTAAAGCCACAGACACAGATTTGATTCGTATGCGGGATGTAGAGGTAACAAATAGGCCTGGTGTTTCGCTTCTAGCGTAGCCCCGTCATGCACTGCGGTATGCTCGAATTTCTATATACTTAGGTTAGATCACTTGTTACAGTAAGCAAGCTTCCATGGAGTCTGAGAATCTCAAACCATCGAGGGGTGAAAGATCATCCTTTCTCGAAGAGACAAGATTATGTCTTACCACCTAGTGTGGCCATGCAGGATTGATCGTCCTGATGCACATCGCAAGCTAGGTACATTCTTTTGTCAATGATAATACCTGCGACCAAACATTTGTGGAAGAAATATCATCCTACTTAGTCAAATAAACACCGCTGGGCGGAAATAAGATTCGAACAACTGGGGAGAAAAGTAGAAAAATCCTAGATTTAGTGTGGTGAGTGTACAATCAAGCAAATGATGGACAGAGACATTAGATGTACCGACCGCATTGAAGACCAATTTTTGTCTCTTCGCGTAGCATATGCTCATAGGAGCCGGTGTTTGTCTCATATGTCATGGCTTATCCAAGGCGAAGGACAAGGCGAAGGACTGATAGTAAGGTTGTTTTTGCTGCCTTTAAAGCGCGAGTTGCAAGTTGTGGTCGCGTGTGATGTCGGAGCCGACAAGGCAATGATGCAGGCGATGCTGACTATAACTCGGGCATATTCGTTGGGACTTTCTGTAAATCTTTTTCCACGTTGCCATTCTCACCTTTCACATTTCGCCAACAGCTCTGAAAGTCATCTGAGGCACACCATCAATGATTAAAACCAACATCAGGGATGGGGGACTCGTCCCCCACGATGCGGCCTTCATCGTGGAAGCCTTCGACTCGACCCTCGCGCCCCTCGCGGCCTTCGGCAGCGGCGAGATGTGGGGTTCAAAGCCCTTCAGCGAGAAAGAAGGCTTCACTGAGGAGACGCTCAATGACGTTGAGACGTCAGAGAGATACCGGGCTACCGGTGAGGGTGACGCTTTGCGAGTCTTTATCGCCGAGGTCGAAGTTGGGCCCTCGGCGCCGTCGGCGATCGCCCCGCACGATGCCGGGCAAGAGGAGCCAGGCCTCCGGTACAGGGTTGCCGACGACGGGAAGCGCTATCTATCCGTCGGCACCGCTGTCGTTCGCACGAATTGGCTTCCGGGCCATGTGAAGGCGCAATTTGATCGGGAGAACATTCGCGACGCATTGGAGGGGAAGAATGATTTCGTGTACCTTGATGTCATGGTCACGGACTACAGAACGGGGCATCATCGCAAGGGAGTTGGAGAAGCGCTCATCCGGCGGGTTAAGGAGTACGGGGTTGAGGAGGGTATGCAGGTGCTGTATGTTGATGCTTGGGCTGGAAACAAGAGGAAGCTGATTAGGTGAGTGTATCGGATGCGTGCGTGAGATGAGATGATCGTTTTCTAATATGAGGGAATAGGTTCTATGAATAGCAGGGGTTCGTTGCCGTCGACGACTTCAGCATGATGCGTTCCAATGGAACAACTTGGCCCGGCACGCTTCTACGTCTGGATTTACCGACGATTGATGGCCAAAGGGGATGAACAGGCATATTCACTATTTCAGAAATTGAAGTCCTTCGGCGGCTTCCACCTACAGCAATATACTGATTGATAAGCTGTTCCCGTGGTTTGTTGGCTGAAACTCAACCCCGAATTAAAAGTAAGGGAAGGCAGTGTGCCATATACTTAATCTAAGAATCACGTTGTGGGATGATGTCTCTGTCTCTCTCGGTGAATGTCCCGGATTCGGTGAGGAATGGGACCAAAACAGACCCCAAAGAAGGAGACAACGGTGTGCAGATGGGCTAGTGGGGCGGTTGCCCCGGTGACGGCAGTCTCCGCACACCAACCACAGAGCTTGCCCCCACTTAGCGCGCATCTTGTATTTACTAACCCTGGCAATTGTCAACACGATATCCTGCCGACTGCCACCACTTTTACCGGCTTTAACTTCACATCATCCAACACGCAACGGCCTCTACGTTTCTCCGGCGGGCTGCCTTCTGTTCTTTTGGATTTCACATTTCTGTTATCAGCCTTTTATCCTACCACCGCCAATCGACCACACTCGAAATACCTCCCCAATCATGAGCTCCAGACGGGAGCTGACGAGGACGGCCTCGTCGAATCTGCGCACCGGCGCCGCGGCTCGCTCGAGCGTGCGACCGGGAACGCGGACCTCAAATTTGCGATACCAGCATGGTCCATCACAAAGCCAGCGTCCCGCCTCGCCTGCCGAGTCTGTCGCCTCGGTCGCCACCAACGCGACGAAGCGTAAGGAGCGCGAATACGACTTTGATGCGCCGGGCCAGGAGACCAACATCAACGTCGTCGTTCGATGCAGAGGCCGCAACGACCGCGAAGTCAAGGAGAACAGCGCTGTTGTCGTTCAGGCTGATGGCGTCAAGGGCAAGGACGTCGAGCTCAAGCTCGGCCCCAATGCGCTGAGCAACAAGACATATAACTTTGACCGCGTCTTCTCCGCCGCGGCTGACCAGACCATGGTCTTTGATGATACTGTCAAGCCCATTTTGGATGAGGTACGTCTCGCAAGGGAGCTAGCTTCTGGTGCTTGGCTAACAAAACGCAGATGCTCGCTGGCTTCAACTGCACAATCTTCGCCTACGGCCAGACCGGTACTGGCAAGACCTACACCATGTCAGGTGACATGACAGAGACCCTCGGTCTTCTCTCTGACGGCGCCGGCATTATCCCCCGAGCTCTTCATGCGCTGTTCAACAAACTCGAAGTTGACGACACCGAAAGCTGCGTCAAGTGTTCATTTATCGAACTCTACAACGAAGAACTGCGCGACCTGATCGCCGTCGAGGATGGCCCCAAGCTGAAGATCTTTGACGACACATCAAGAAGGCACGCGACGACAGTGGTGCAGGGTATGGAAGAGAGACACATCAGAAACGCCGGCGAAGGTATCAAGGTTCTTCAGGATGGAAGCTTGAAGCGCCAGGTCGCGGCGACAAAGTGCAACGATCTCAGTTCTCGAAGTCATACGGTCTTCACCGTTACCGCCTACGTCCGCAAGAAGGGCGAGGATGGTAGTGATGACTATGTTAGCGCTGGAAAGCTCAACTTGGTCGATTTGGCCGGCAGTGAGAACATCCAGCGATCCGGGGCGGAGAATAAGCGAGCTGCCGAGGCGGGCTTGATCAACAAGAGTCTTTTGACGCTCGGCCGAGTCATCAACGCCTTGGTTGATAAGGGCCAGCATATCCCTTACAGAGAGTCGAAGCTCACCAGACTTCTCCAAGACTCCCTGGGTGGACAGACAAAGACATGTATCATTGCCACCATTTCGCCTGCCAAGAGCAACCTGGAAGAGACAATCTCGACACTCGACTATGCGTTCCGAGCCAAGAACATTCGCAACAAGCCGCAGGTCAACGCTATGATCAACAAGAGGATGCTTCTGAGGGACTTTGCAACAGAGATTGAAAGGCTCAAAAGCGAGCTGATTACGACCCGACAGCGCAACGGTGTTTATCTTTCCAACGAAAGCTACGAGGAAATGACGGCGCAGAGCGAATCACGACGCATCGTCATGGAGGAACAGGCAGCCAAGATGGAGACCCTCGAAGGCAACCTGAAGAACAAGGTCCAGGAGCTCTTCGCTCTGACCTCTAACTTCATGGGCCTGCGGAAAGATCACGAGAGCACCAAGGCCGAGCTTGATGAGACTCAGGGCGTTCTCGAACAAACTGAGGTTGTTCTCAAAGCCACAAGAAGGAGCCTCGCGGAGGAGACTCACCTCCGCAAAGCTCATCAGGAAACCGAGGAGAAGCTTGCTGAGGTCGGCGGAGAGCTTATTGCGACCCTGCAAAAGACCGTCCACGACGTGGATGGTCTCAGAGCGAAGAACAAGCGAAAATCGGACCTCCAATCCATCAACCGAAGCGCATGGGGCACAGCACAAGCCGAAGTTTCCGAAGTGACGAATCTGGTGGAGCAGCGAGTACAGAGTTTCCAGGATAAGCAACGGCAAAACATCTCGGGCATTTCTGAGCGCATGAACTCTTTTGTCAATGAAGAGTTGAAGAAGCTGTCTTCTACCCAACAGTTCCTCGACGAACAACTGGAGTCCTTTGCCGAATCGAGAAAGGAGCTCCTGGAACAGAAGGAGAAGTCCAAGGATGAGATGGACGACGTTCTCGAGGAGATCAAGGTTGTGCGCGACACCGTTAAGCAGCAAGTTGGAGAGAGTCTTCAGGCTATTGCCGGTGCCGCTGAACGCATTGCTGCAGATGTCCTGGGCGAGCTTGACACTTTCCACAACCAGGTAAGAAGTCTCAACTTTCCTTGGCCCATGAACAGAGCTAATCTATCCGCAGTTGCACACTTCGTATAGCTCCCTTGGTAAAGAGTTCAAGGGCATGTTTGAGGAACTCGTGAAGCACATCTCAGAACAGCGAAGTGAATCCGATAGACTCAGACAACAGCTCGAGAACGCAACCAACAACGTTATCGAGGAGAATGAGAACACCTCGGCTCAGATGCAGCGAGTGTTGGATGAGGAGAGAAAGCAAGCGGCACAGGACCGACAAAATCTGCTGACTCAGATCGCATCTCTCATCAATGTTCAGGCAACGACCCAAGAGACTCGCCTGGCCGAGAAGTCTGCGCAGCTGCAAAAGAGCGTCTTGGCCACGAATGTGACCCTGCAAGATACTGTGACTCAGTATTCTGAGGACATGGTCGCATGGGATGCCAAGGAGGGCCACTTCCTTGGTGATGTGGCCAAGTCCCGCGACGCGATGAAGAAGAAATTGAAGGATGACTGGAACGTAAGTGGAACAAACTCCCTGCTTTGTGTAGCTGAGAAAGGTGCTAACCAATTGCTAGGTCGCCGAGGAACACAGCACCGCAATCCAAGCGACTACGAAGTCAGTACACGCAGAGACCGTTCGCGTCGTGGACGAGCAATTGAAGGATCTCGACGTTCAAATGGAGGCATTGGACGACTTTGTCACGCGCGCTCGTTCTGAGAACGCCTCTCACCACGAACGCCACAACGAGTCCATGCAAGGCCTGTCATCCACTGTGGAGACGTCTTTCGACAACATCTCGAGCCACTTCAAGACCACCTTTGACCGTGTCAAGGACCTTGGGGAGGAGATGGACACCGAGACTGAGGAGATGCAGCAGGGTCTGGATCCGTTGACCCAGCAATTGTCGAAGCCATTGACTGCGCTCCGCGAGGATATTGAAACCACAACCATCCAGGAGTACCGCCCGACAGGAGAGACGCCCATGAAGGTCCAGTACCAGTACCCGACCGACCTTCCCCGGACGGAAGCACACGATGCTCTTCTCGCCGAGCTCAGTGAATCAGCCACTCCCAGCAAGCCTGCGGCTGATGCCATGGTCTTCTCGGACTTGGAAACCGACATGTCTCGCTCACCTCCGGCGCGCACGTCGACCCGTATGTCGGCCCTTAGCATGATTTCGGAAATGCCCCCCTTTAACATGAGCCTTCGCGAAGTGAACCCCAACACGACCGGTAACCACGGCTTCGACCCCTCCACGAGCATGATGTCCATCAACGAGAACACTGCCCCGCTGCTCTTTAGCAAGCGTACCTCGACACGGCCTGTGCAGAAGGGTCGCAAGCACACCAGTCTGCTACCCATTGAGGGGCGGGAGAACGTGCCCCCCTCGTCATTCTCGTCGAGCTTGGGACCTCGAAGGAAGAGCCCGCGATTGAATTAGCGGGTTGAAGCGAGGAGCGTGGCGCGTGGATTATTGGAGAAAAGACGGGTGTTGATGGAATTAACAGACTACTCATGTACTGGTTGAATTGTACAAATGGCGATTATGGGGTTTGGGGGTTTGAGGTTGGATTGGTAGGATTATGGCGTGTAGGCAGGCTTACTGGTATTGTTGATACCCATGACTTCTTTTGCGGACGGTTTAATTCCACATTTTTATGTTCTTGTTCTTCATCTCATCCATTGTTGACCAAACGCCCCGAGCTTGCAACGTTCAATTTTTATGCGTAAGACCCAAACGGGAAAAGAAGGCCAGAAATGTCGATACGTAAAGTAGCTTTGGGAGGGCAATGAGTGTAGCTCAATGGCGATCCCCCCCGCTCGTCATCCACGCCCTTAAGGATGTGCCGCCTTCCCCGACAATGCTATAAAATGCTAGTCTGGCAACCTTTTTGTTTCTGTTGCAAACATTCTCTTCCTCTCTCTGCATTAACCTACCTATTTCCGTTCACTGACGAACTTTTGTCCCAGGACACAAGAAGAACTTCCCCTGCTTCCCCTTGTAAATCTGCACATCTCGGCCCACAATGTCGTATCCAGACCTGACCAAGTTCAAAGCCCTCTCCTTTGACTGCTACGGCACCCTCGTAGACTGGGAATCCGGTCTCCGTGAGGGACTGCAGCCCATCATCGCCCGCCTGCCGCCCACTTCCTCCCAACAACTCAACGACATCAGCAGCCATGACCCATCAGCAGCCTTGACAAAGCGCTTCGACGAACTCTCAGCCGCCCTCGAAGTCACGGAACCGCACCTGCGCTACGACCTGAACCTCGCGCGCACCTTCTCCACCCTGGCCTCCGAGGTAGGCGTCTCCGTCTCTGCGCAGGAGGCCAGCGCGTTCGGGGCGCTACCGGGCACGTGGGCGCCGTTTGCGGATACCGTCGCCGGGCTGGCGGTCCTCCAGAAGCATTACAAGCTCATTCTCCTCTCCAACATTGACGAGGCGAATATCCGCCGGTCGGTTTCCCTGCTGGCACCGGTGGCGTTGGACGCCGTGTATACCGCCGAGCAGATTGGTAGCTATAAACCCGCCGACGCGAATTTCGCGTACCTGTTTGAGCACGTTCGAGAGGAGTTGGGCGTGGAGTGGGATGCTGCGGAAGGAGGGTTGTTGCATGTTGCGAGGAGTCTGACGGCCGATCATGTTCCTGCGAAACGGCTGGGCTTGAGGAGCGTCTGGATCTCGAGGGGTGGAGATGTCAAGGGCGGGGAAGGGGTTGGCGGGGATTTGGAGGGGTTGAGGGGGCAGGTTGGGTTTGAGTGGCGGTTTGATACGATTGGGGAGTTTGCGAAGGAGGTTGAGAGGCAGTTTGGATCGCTTAAAGGATGAGTTTTGTCTATATGTGATGATTTTGGTTTGTTGGATCGTTTCTCTTGGGATATTCTTTGATTTAGTGGTGGTTTGGGGATCTACCTAGCCGAAGCAATCCGGCTAGTGGGAACAGATAGTAATGGATGTGTCATGATCGAATTAGAGGATGTAAATCAATTTACTATGATATTAACGACATCAACATGAGCAGGCTTCACAACCTCTTCTTCCCCTTCACACACCCCAAAACGGGACTAACAACAACAGCCTCGCTGTCTGGTACGGCAACAGTCACCCTGCCCCTGATTACCAGCGCCGTCTCCCCAGCGGTGACATTCCCCAGCCTCACGGGCTTCCCCCCCTCAAGCTCGTAGTTATAGCTCCACCCGTCCCACGTGATCCCCGAAATGGCATCACTCCCATTCGCCGCGAGCCTCCGCACGTCAGCGAGACCGGCTGGCCAAGACGACACGTCGAAGCTGTACGTCTTTGCGCCGCGGGGTCGGGGTCTCACCGGGTCTGGTGTTGTGCCTGTGCCGTTCACGGTCGAGTTGTGGGCCCGGAGGTTGATGACGAGGATGCGGGCGAGGGTGTCGCCGTGGTAGGCTGCGTAGGCGGATGCTTGCCCGTCGTTGTTGTCCGGGAGGGGGATGTGCGCAACGGAGACTGCGGACGAGGGGTAGGCCTTGGATGGAGCGAGGAAGGCCGCAATGGCGACGTTGCCGTAATATGGTGCCTTTGTGCCGAGAGCCGTCTTGTCTGTGTGGATGGGCTGCCAGCTTTGATACTGTGTGACTGTTAGCATGAACCCGTGGAGATGGGAGCCCAGGGGGGGAGATAAGGATGGTCTCACTCGATAGTCGGTCCCCATGTGCATGTGAACACGTTTAATTCCCTGCGAAGCCGCATAGAGATTAAAGTCGACACCCCAGAGCGCGGCGCCAAAGGAGTTTGACAATCCCGGCTTGCCCTGGTTGTACAGGGAATTGTGCTCCCCGTAGATGAGCGGCGGGACGTCGTCGAAACGCCCCGTGATGGTGGCGTACTCCCTCACGTGCGCCTGAACGGACTGGACGGTGCGGGTGTGATTCATCAGCGTACCCTGGAGCGTGACCCCGGGGCTCTCGGCGCCGCTGATGTAGTTGTGTGTCGAGAAGAGCGCGACGTTGTCGTCAGCGTCTAGGCCGGCGGCCCACTGCGCCGGAGCGCGGAGGCGGTTCGCGGTGCCCGCGTTGGAGGGCGCCATGAAGACTGGCTTGGGGAAATCGGGGCACGCTTCCGCGAGGATGGCGGCGATCTCGCGGGTGACGTTGAGCCACTGCTCTACGTAGACTTTCTCGTTCCAGGACGACGGCCGGACGGGACCCTGCGCCGAGGTGGAGAAGAGATCCGGCTCATTGCCGTACTCCCAGACGTCGAGGTTGTCTTTACCGATGGCCTTGCAGGCCAAGGGCACGGTGGCTTTGAGGGTCTCCCACCCTTCTGAGCGGTTGCCGCCCAGGCCGAGGTTGAAGCCGTGGGTGAATTTGGTGTCGGGTAAAGTACCGTACGACTCGAAGAATGAAGGGCCGATGTGGATGGTTGTGGGGTAGTCCCTGGACCTGGCGAGGTCATATGTGCCGTTCACGGCGTAGGGGAGGGATTCGTCGTAGAGGGCGTAGTCTTGGGTGTTTCCTCCGACCCGAATGAACGGGCGGACGCCTTGTAGGTCACCCAGGTTCGCGAGCAGGTTGTCCGAGAACCTGTTTGGCGCCGAGGCGTTTCCTAGCCAAGTCAGGATGCGTGCCGTGATACTTGCCTGGGTCTCTTTCGGAAAAGAAGTACGTACCAGCAAAGTCTGGGAAGAAGGCAAACTCGAGCGAGTAGCTCACAAAGGCATCAAAGACGGGACTCCCCTCTTGAGGTCCGGGGACGGTGACATTGATGGCACCTATCGCTATCAGTGCAGCGGTTTCGAGGAGACCGGCGTTGAACTTGAGGGCGTAGAACCAAGGCGAGAAGGCAGAGAACAAGCAGTCAAGCTCGTCGCCCAGGACCGAGCCTACGGACCTGATGACGGACGACATGATGGCGGCAGGAGGGGATTGCTAGCGGGGACGATGGGAGAGGGGATGAAGTGAGAATAAGCTTCACCGCATGTGTGGGCAACGGCGCCGTTGTGGGGATTATAGTTGATCATTTTCTGACATTATCGCGGGGGCGGCTTTTGCAGCTGCCAGCTGAAGGCAAGGAGGAAGAATCAAGGCGAGAAAGAACGATGACTTGGTATGGCAGGCGGCATACGAACATGACGGCATGCAGGTCGCTTAAGCTGTCAGAATGGGCGAGATCAACGCTGAGGCGACGGATACCTGTACGCGGGGGAACTGCGTTGAAGGATTGGCCTGCGCTGGTTCGTGTGCCAAGGTTGTTGCCGACTAAACGGGAAGCGTCTTTCAATCCCACGCATATGAATGAACACGAAGCGAGGCTCGCCCGATGCTGGTGATGTTTTGGAGTTTAACCAATGACAAGACAAACTCAGCTCGCATGTGGAATCAAGCTAATAGGCAGATGAGCTTTCTATTCTTTCCAACTCAAGTTCAAGAGAATATGCGATGAACGGCTGGAACGTGCGCAAGCTTTTCAAGCTTTGCAAGTAATTGCTCGGTTTCATTCTATGCCCTGTATCGTTGTCAATTGGCCATCATAGCCAGAGAGAGTCCACTAAAGATGGGGTATCAAAATGAAGGGAGCTCAGCCATAGCTCGCTCTCCAGTGGAGTTGCCCGTCTACAGACACCTTACCCAGGAACAGCTCGAGTCGGGATCAAAGGTAGGTAGGTACCTTATTCCCTCGAGCTCTTCGCTTCGCTGCGCTCTTGTTATCTGTTAGCAACTCCGCCTTGGCGAAGTGCATCGTCTTAACATGCCCCACTACAACTACGCCGTGCCGGTCCAGGTACTCAAGGTACGGTAATCCCAACCGGGCCGGTTGGGAAAGTGGGGTGGACGTCATCGAACGTCACCCGGGCCTCGGGCACTCTGGCACTCTATCACTCTCTCGCCCGTCTCCGTTGTCGCTTCAATTGGATAAGCATCTATATACCATTAACTGCCGTTGCGGACCGTAATTCTCACAACCTATCCCGGCGCCGAACCGCACACCCTCAGTTGCAATCCCAGAGGTCTTTCGGTCACCAAGGGAGTGTTTGAGCGCATCCAGGACCCCGAGCTTGAAGCTTAATTCCCCATTCTAGGAGGACCAGACCAGACGGCTCCCCGCATTTCCACATCTTTTTAGCATCGACGAGCCAAGAGCTTCGTTTCTTCCCCTCCGACCCGTCACCATGCCCATTGCATTACAGAAAGCAGTCGCCCCGGCGTCACGATTCGTACCGAGAACCATATGTCGATCTGTTCGGACCTCATATATCCCATTCACTCTCAGAGCCGCTTCCACCATGGTTCCCAAGGTACATACTGCTCGCAATATCTCATTCGTAGCCGCTCATCTCATATTAAACTCACTCCTGATTCGCATAGCTCAAAGACCCGTCACTCCTGAAGCAGGATGTCTGCTACGTCAACGGTGAATGGGTAAAGGCCAAGTCAGGCAAGACCTTTGATGTGGCCGGTAAATTCACCTCCACAGTCTTCAACCCGTTGGTGACGATATTGGTAAATCCGACTAACCACCGCAACAGACCCCGCCACCGGCACAAAAATCGCATCATGCCCCGAATTCTCCGGAGCCGACACGGACGCCGCCATCGCCGCCGCTGCCGCTGCCTTTGAAACCTTCCGCACCAAGACGGGCCGCGAGCGCTCCAAGCTGCTGCGCAAGTGGTACGACCTCATGATGGAGAACGCAGAGGACCTGACCACCCTCATCACCTGGGAGAACGGCAAGCCCGTCGCTGACGCCAAGGGCGAGGTCACCTACGCGGCCAACTTTTTCGAGTGGTTCAGCGAGGAGGCGCCGCGTATATACGGCGATACCATCCCCTCCTCCGTCCCTGGGAACCGCGTCTGGACCATCAAGGAACCCGTTGGCGTTTGCGGTCTCATCACCCCGTATGCCCCCTACCCCCTCTCTCGCGTTCGTGTTCTTTAGAGGAATCGTTCACCAAGACTTACATATCGTTGCAGATGGAACTTCCCCGCCGCAATGATCACCCGCAAAATCGGCCCCGCCCTCGCAACAGGCTGCACGGTAGTCTGCAAAGCCCCCGGCGAAACCCCCTTCACCTCCCTCGCCATCGCCGAGCTAGGCCACCGCGCCGGCATCCCCGCCGGCGTCGTCAACGTCGTCACCTCGCTCGACAACACCCCCGAGGTCGGCGAGGCCCTCACCACCAACCCGACCGTCAAGAAGATCTCCTTTACGGGCTCCACCAACGTCGGCAAGCTCCTCATGAAGCAGTGCTCGGGGACCCTCAAGAAGCTCTCCATGGAGCTCGGCGGCAACGCACCCTTTATCGTCTTTGACGACGCCGACATTGACGCCGCCGTGGCTGGGGCCATTGCGTCCAAATTCCGCTCCTCGGGCCAGACGTGCGTCTGCGCCAACAGGCTGTACATCCAGAGCGGCGTCTACGACGAGTTTGCGCGCAAATTCGCTGCAAAGGTTGAAGAGTTCAAGGTCGGCAACGGCTTCGAGGACGGCATCACCCACGGGCCCCTCATCCACGACCGCGCCATCGACAAAGTTGAAGCCCACGTCCGCGACGCCGAGAAGAAGGGCGGCAAGGTTGTCATTGGCGGTAACAAGATCTCCAAACTCGGCCACAACTTTTACGAGCCCACCGTCATCACGGGCATGACAAAGGACATGGCAATGTCGAGCGAGGAGACCTTTGGCCCCGTCGCGGGGCTCTTCTCCTTTGAGACGGAAGAGGAGGTCGTCAGGCTGGCCAACGCCACCAACGTCGGTCTGGCGGGCTACTTTTTCTCGCGCGACGTGCAGCGCGTGCACCGTGTCGCGGAGCACCTCGAGGTCGGCATGGTCGGCGTTAACACGGGCCTCATCTCGGACCCGGCCGCGCCGTTTGGTGGCGTCAAAGAGTCCGGCTTCGGGAGGGAGGGGTCGCTGTACGGCGTGTCCGAATACCAGGTCACCAAGATGGTCACGTACGGCGGCATGGGCCAGCCTCTTCAGAAGTGAAGGGGGAGGTAGGAAGCAACGGTTGATAAAATGTTGCGAAAGAAATGTTGATTTTTAGCGGGTAACCCTGGGATAGGAGTTGGCATTCTACTGTTCAAATCTGCTTGAGTCATTTCCTGCCTGAGTGGCTTTCTTCCCTCTCTACATGTTTCGTGATTGACCTATTGCTTGTACGAAAGAGAAGAATCTTGCTGCTTCTCGTTCCATCCAAGAGGACCAGCGTAGAAGGCGCTATCTAAGGCTTCCGTTGCAGTGCCGAACGCCAAACATGCAACCGAGGTTGCTTCCGACGGCGCTCCTGTCACCTCTACCGCTCGAAGAACTCGGCTCTCCAATCTGTCTACGCCATCTACACAGGGCCCCCTCGTCAGGAATGGTCACTATCCATCTCAAAGCTGGCTTGCTGCAGGCAGCGAGATGTCGGAGCCCTTGTGTCCCCGAAGGTGAGCGTTTTCCCTGCCGTGTCCTGGCGCGCCGGCGGCTGCTCGCCGGTAGAGCGGTGTGGATGTTGCTTTCTCCAGCCAGTGCTCTCCAACAATTGAGTGGCACTCGTGTGTTTGCTCATGCTCACAGAGTCGAACGCTACGCTCTTCGCCCTAAAGCATTTGCCCGAAATTATCGTTAGGGGGAAAATGTGGCACGGGAAAACAGACTGAGGGTTGTTGTTGATGCTGTCCAAGTTGAACGTGGAGCATGTTGTTACGCAGGCCATTAGGAAGCTGTACGACATGTCGGAAAAAAAATTCGGCTTTCACCCATGAAACCTCACCCCGAGCGAGATTGAAGCAGGAAATGTGCGTGGGCCTGCCGCACTTTCACAGACCGTGGACGATATTTCCTACAGCCGACCGCATAGGTGGAACTTCCTGCAAAGGGTATCTTCCTTATTTCATTTGGAGCTGGTTGTTGTACATTTATACATCTTTCTTTCTATTCTTACAAGCTTGCCACAGCATCATCACAACGCCCGCACAAAGCGTCCTCCTTGGGCGCGATATACCGCCAGCAACGCGGGCACTTGTGCTCATTCGGCGGCAACACCGAGACTGTCCCCTTGGCGCCGTTGACCTCGAACGCCTCGTCGTAACGCCACTCGGGCTGGCCGGGTACTCCCGTGTTGGTTTCGACCGAGGACACGACGAACATCGCCTCCAGCTCCTTTCTGTACTTGCTCATCACGCCGGCGACTGCTTGATCCTCAGTCGTCACAATCACAGAGGACTGCAGCGACGACCCGAGGACCTTGGCCGCGCGGCCCTTTTCGAGAGCCGCTTTGACGGCATTCTGGACAGACATCAGGACCGGAAGGTCCTTGCGGAGGGAAGCCTCCCCAATGGGCGAGGGTGCTCTACTGTGAACGGTTGCGTCGTAGGGGGTATACAGGGGATGAAGGATCGTGCTGTCGGCCTTCATGTACTCGGGGCGGTGGTCCCACGCCTCCTCGACCAAGAGGGGCGTCATGGGTGATAGCATGCGGAGGAAGCCGAGGAAGATTGGCTCCAGGACGCCGCCGCCGTCGCCGCAGTAGAGGCGGTCTTTCATAGCCTCGAGGTAGAAGGCGGAGAGGTCGTTGGCGATCCAGCGGTTCAAGGCACTAAAGGCCTTGTAGAACTCGTGTGCCGCAAATGCCCTTTCAACTTCCGCCATCACGTCTCTCAGCTGGATGAGCGCGATATAGTCCAGAGTCGTCGTGGGAGCGGTTCTGGCCGACTCGTGCATCGAGCCGGTCAACATTTTGATGATTGTTCGGTACTTGACCAGCACGGTGTGAACGGACTTGAGAACTGCCTGACCGATGGCGACGTCCTTGGTATATTCTGAACTGGCAGCCCAGAGACGAAGAGCGTCCGGACCCAGGGCCTCATAGGTTGGGCCAGCGTTGGCTACCTTGGCTTTGCCCCTGACCTTGATCGGCGGCAGCAGGGTGCCGTCCATAATCTGGTCGGGTGTAATGGTGTTCCCGATCGACTTTGACATCTTTTTGCCAGAATGGTCTAGCGTGAAGCCGTGAGTGATGAGAGTCTTGAACGGAGACTTGGGCTGCGCTTGGGATGCCGCATCACTCTCAGCCCTTTGCGCGGCCACGTACGAAAGCAGGCTTGACTGAAACCAGCCGCGGTGCTGATCAGATCCTTCAAGGTAGACGTCTGCTTGGCCGTTGCTCTCAGTCCAGCTGCTTCCGCTATCGAACCAGACATCCATGGTGTCGGTACCACGTCGGTAGCGTCCTTTCAAAGACGGCGCAACCCAAGCAGGTTCATCGGCGGCGTCGGAGAACCAGGCATCAATACCACGCTGCTGAATGACCGAAATGATGTGGTCCACGGATTCCTCCGTCACCACAGCATCTCCATTGGCATCGTACAGAGCAGGTATAGGGACACCCCAAGCACGCTGGCGCGAGATACACCATTCACTGCGGCCAACAACGAAGCTCTCAAGGCGGTTGTGCCCGGAAGACGGCACAAACTTGACGTCCTTTAGGGCGTTGAGAGCGTCGTCCTTGATGCTACCAACATCGGCGAACCATTGAGCCGTAGACCGTATGACCACGGGCTGTTTCGTCCGCCAGTCATAGGGATATTTGTGCTTGTACTTTGCCGCATCAAGAACGTCGTCTTCGATCAGGGCGAGAACGGCCTTGCTGCCGCCCTTGAGGATCGAGGAGGCTTCTGTCAGCTTTTCGGGCGCATCTGGGAAAGCTTCATGGGTGAAGTTTCCCTCGTCGTCTATGGGCGCGAAGGCATCGATGCCGAGCTGAACGCATGCCTCATAGTCCTCGAAGCCATGGCCAGGAGCGATATGAACGAGCCCTGTTCCAGAGTCTGCTGACACAAAATCTGCGTGGATGATTGGCTGCGGTACAGAGTTTGCCCCTTGCAGCCTATTCTTGTATTGCAAGCCAAGCAGTTCGGAGCCCTTGATGGATGCTACGATGACGCGAGGCTCCTGCTCGGGGAAGAGAGCCTTGACAGCTTCAAGACGGCTGACCGCGGTGAGATACGCGCTTCCATTGGCGGTGGCGATGGCGTAGTCCAATTCATCGTGAATGGCAATGGCCTTGTTCGCCGGCAGGGTCCAGGGGGTGGTGGTCCAAATGATGGCGTAGAGCTGGCCAGTAAAGCCGTCCAGGGATGGGCCGCCAATAATTGGGTACCGGATGTAAGCTGCCGTTGAAACGTGATTCTCGTTGTACTCCAGCTCGGCTTCAGCCAGAGCAGTTCTCGATGAGGGCGACCAGTATACGGGCTTGCTCTTGCGGTAGATGAGGCCTCGCCGTACCATCTGCTTGAACAAACGCAGCTGCCTGACCTCGAAGTCGGGGTCCATTGTCGTCCACCGCGCATCCCAGTCACCCATGACGCCGTATGAGCGGAAACCCTCCATCTGCTCCAGGACGGTAGTGGACGCTAGCTGCCTCGCAGCCTTTCGGATCTCTACGGCGGTCATGCCCTTGCCGCCTGACGTGCCAACGGCCTTCATTTCGATGGGGAGGCCATGGCAATCCCAGCCCGGCCTGTAGCGTATGCGATAACCTGCAAAATTGGCATTAGATGGCAAAAGGGAAAGCGCTGAAGAAGAAACCATATCGGACCTTGCTGGACCTTGACTCTGTTGATCATGTCTTTCAAAATCTTGTTCAAGGCGTGGCCAGCGTGGAGGCCTCCATTTGCGTATGGCGGGCCATCATGCAGAGTGAACTCGGGTCTGGAATCATTGGATAACTGCCAATTGTAAAAGTCGTCGGCGGATCGGCGGAGATATTCGGCACGAAATTGCGAGAGCGGGCGCGGTCTAGGACGGTCCGGGACACGGGTCAGCTGAGGACGGAGCTGAGGGGCGGCGGTGGCTGCAGCCGGAAAAGCTTACGGAAAGGTGGATTTAGGTAACCTCAATGTCGATGCCCATGACTTCGACATGATCGCTTTGTAAGCATCACTGCGAAGGTGAGGGATAGGGAGTCGATCTGCTTTGCGGCACTTTGAAGTTCGGCCACGGAATGAGGATTCATTGACCGCGGTTCAACTTTGGACGCGGCACCGGAGCTGGGCGACGCGATTCCGAGAAAATTAAAGTGGATCCTTGCGAATTGCCTGAGGTCACTGGCAGCAGGCGCATTCAGTGTCGTGCAGTGGCCCCGCAAGAGCAACTGCACGGGCGCCACTGCTGCAGGGCCGTAAGGTACCTTAGGTATTGGAGGCACTTGCCGATTAGGCATCTGAAGTACACGTCCCTCGCTTACCTGCAACAGCACGCACTTAGAGCTGGAAAGGGTACATTGACATGGTGGGATCTCTCTCATCCGACGTCACGACGTGCAATCGAGCAGTCAAACTGCTTCCATCCAGCTACCTACTTCATCCCATCCTCAACCCCTCCTCTTCGACATCAACTATAAAGCAAACTTTCTTCTGGAAGCTCGCCAGGCGATGTTGCTTTCGCTTATTGCACCAATCGACCACGTCACATCGGGCACACGCCTCTCCAGAAACCTACCTTTCACGTCTCAGCCAAATACAACCTCGGATCCAGGTTTGATTTCATGCTACTCGAGCCTCACTGCAACTGTATCTCCTGGTGAATACATCAGCTATGGCGCCTATACGTCGATACTTGAGGATCACCAAGTACTCCGTTCTCGAATGCCGTATCTATCTCGATAATCCAGCACTGGCACAAAGTTGGCTTCTCAATCCTCGGAATCCCATTCTACCCAAGGTCATCGAGAGTGTTCGCCCCTTGGTGCTACCAAAGCTGCGTGAAGAAAAAGAGAGGGAAAGAGCAAAGAAGAAGAGCTCGAAAAAGAAGACTGTCAAGGATGTCATCGTTCAAGGTTTGTCATCCTGTTTCGCAGCCTTACTCACTGTCACCACCCCGCTCGACCCAACCACCTCTCGCCGTCGTCATCAGCCCGGTCTAGACCCCTTCTCGAAGCGACTAAAGTTGGCTGATCATGGGCACTGCTAGACGAGTTTGAAGTCTCCATGTTCTTGACCGAGACAAGTACACGCCATTCGCTCCTCACTAAGCATAAGCACTTCCGCGACAAGGCACCCGGGAAGTTGCAGTCAAACTCCAACAAACTCATAAACGAAACGAATGACGTACCCATTGACTTGGAAACGGGGCCCGAAGGAGCCGCTGGTACGGTGACTATTCGGCAGGAAAGTGAATCCGAAGACGACACTGCCGGCCTTTCCCTCATCCCCGCTGTCGATGAAACAAGCCTGCCTCGTCGATCAAAGAGACAGCGCGGAGAACCTCGCGATGATCAAGGCGCCGAGGATCAGGTGCCCTCGGACAATGATGCCGGTGCAGAGGCTTCGGCGATTGAGATAGACTCCGGCGACGATGCTTCCCGGCCGTATAAGCGTATCAAGAAGCAAGAGACTGAGTCAGACCTGGAGCAAGACGGCGACGACAAGAAGAAGATGGCAATGGATGTTTCCTACGAAGGTTTCGCTATCTACGGTCGTGTACTCTGCCTCGTCGTCAAGAAGCGCCAAGGTCTAAGATTAGCAGTTTCGACCGCCGCTGGGGGTGCCAAGCAGCCTGCTGGCCAAGCCAGCATGGAGAACTGGATCAGCTCAACCCAGATGCCTAACCCTGGCGCCGAGGAGGACGTGTCATGAGAAGCAGCCGCTAAGTAAGAATATCTCGGCCTTACAGAGCTGAATACGTCAAGGGAACCACTGGGCATCATGGAGGGAGCTCACGCTCCTCACCGGCATAAATAACCGATGACACGATGACAGCTCACTTCGGACCAACTTATGACTTCCCTGTCGTTTATTGGGACGCTTCTCAAAGTTTGGCCACCCCCGACCGTTAATCACGCTATTATCCACCCGTTGTTTCGTGTGTCTAGACTAGCCAAGTCTCTGTGCTATACATGCGCAACGTTAATGGGACACTTTCACCACAACAAATCGAGACCTGGGGTATGGGGCAAGAATACGCAGCTGTTTCGAGAAATATCCGCTCGGTGTCCGTTACGAAAGCGAAATCGTTCAAGAATGATTCTCACCACATATGTCACTGGGATTTATTGCAGGCCAGGCCTTGATGAAAGCTGGTGAAAGACATGGTCATCCTGCGCTCAAGCTTCGGACCGGCGGAAAGTCCGCCCCGGGGCCTTGTAGGGATGGTTCGGTTTCCCCAGCGGACTATAACGCGCTTGTAAACGCCGTTCCATCCACCGGGAGAGTCCCGGATTGCCATAGCTCCAATACGGCGTGGTGTCGAAGTGGCGATCCAGATGAGCCATGGGCAACAGTTGTTGAAGGTGTGCACGGTCAACGATGCTTACTTAGGCCTGCGACAAGTGAAACGAGCTTGCTGGAAACCAAGCTGGTTGGCATACGCCAGCCCAGCTTGTCGGCTTCGGACAATAGAGAGAAAACGATGTCACGACTCAGGTTCGATGTCACGCCAAGGCCGCGCTAGCTTTGCAAAGTTCTCGACTTGCTGGAATCATTAACATTGCCCGGCGTTTGGGCAGATTTCATATTCTGTTCTTACCGACGATCTCTTACCGAACGACCCCTATTCTTGCCTGTCGCGGGATCATTCTTGGCAGCAGTATGCAGCTTCTATAATTTCCCCAATCGTGATCATCGTAACGAAATCGCCGGCGGGAGCTTCAAAGGTGGAAGGAAGCCCCGGCCTGAGCCTCAAATTCGAGGAGGCTGTGTAGCAGTGGCCGCGGAAACGAAGCTCCAAGTCATCGGCCGAGGCAGCCGTACGTACCTAGAGACGATCAAGGACACCGTAGTTTCCAAGCGCATGACACATTACTTTAAGCGCAGGCGACTGTGACATACAACTCTCTACTATACAACCCACCACGAGTCTAAACGGGGCAAATTTTCAATCGGGAAAGTTTAGCAAGGATGCTACTTGCTGTGGTTTCCTAGATAAGCAAGATTGATGCCAAACTTGTCAAACACGCGATGGAAGGCTGATCTCATTTGCGTACCAAGCACATAGATTGAAAAGATACATCTCGACCAAGTACCCAAAGACGTCCGTCTGTGAAGTTGAGAAGCTCCACCCTTGATGCCGATTATTACGGTCGTAGGAGACTCGGTCGAATTGCTACTGCACACCCTCAACTTCACAGACAAAGTGACTAAGAGTCACGATAATGACAGCCTAACCTAGTTGATTCGCCTGATCACAAATCATTGTCGGCTTACTGACAGGCAGAGTCACGCTAGCTTCCCGTCTAAGCCGCCCAGCACGGACTCGTGGTCGGACGATTTGGCGAGAGACTCTGACGACATGATTGGACTCTTGGAGTAGTTGGACGGTGTAGCGGGCTGCATAGCTGTCTCTGATCCTTGCCGCTGTACGACCGGATAGCTAACTCTAGTAGAACGGAAGCGGCTTGCAAGGCAGCTGTCGTGAACAAACTCCATGGATGACGATAAGCCCTTGCAGCTTTCACCCTCGCTGCACTGCATATGCGGCAACGATAAGAAGAGGGCATCTTTGCTAGTTACCCCGCCTAAGCTGACAGGTTAGATTCGATTGCAGTTTGTCGTGTCAGCGAGGCACAGCAAATCCTCACAGTCGAACTGCGACCCCCAGCCTCGAGTCCACCTGACCACGCGCTGCCATGGATCGTCGGCAGGAAGAGGGTGTGGTCGATCGTCGGAGCGGTGATGGCATAACATCCGTTCTATCGGGCCATTGGCGGAACCAGAGAACGAGGCCGAGGAATCTTGAACCTTGCGATTGAGCTTTCTCCCAAAGCGTCAAGGTGCAGTTGCCTACTGGCCGATCAACCGTTTATCCCCTCACTAAGCCGGCGCGGTTGATGTTCGCTACCCGTACGGATAGGGCAGCAGAAGTCGCAGAATGACATTGACGGCCCTCTGTCGAGGGACCGGACGAAACTGTCTTGGGAGTCCGTACAGCCTACCGTTTGAACGGGTTTGAACGGGACGTGCGGGCATTTTGATGCAAGCCGAGTTCTGGGTTTGCGCGTCTCAGAGGCATCCTTGACGCAAGGGTATCATCACCCGGAGTTAGGGAACGGGAAACCTTCTCGACGGTTTGCACCCTCCAAAAGCGAGAGCCGGCCTAACGAATGCTTTCTTCCCCGGGGTTACCTCTTTTTGACAGATTCGGCCGACGGACTTTCAGGGCAGCGGGGGGGTTTACGGCAGGTCGCGGAGGTGGGCCACCATGACGGCGACTACGGCCGCATCGTATGGGGTAGAGGAGGAGGCGACCAAGTCCTCGTCACGGAGAATGGACGCAGCGACCTCCGTCCGTTGGAATACCGCATCAGGTAAGTGTGGCACATTGAGCCCCGTACGTGTTCCTTGCTGCGGGCAACGATAAATTGGAATAGCTTCAAGGGGCCGAGCCGAGGGAGATGTATCGGGAAGCGAGAGAAGCCAAAGCGATTAGATTAGCCTACAGTCCTACAGCGTATTGACGAGGCCCTCCCAGAAAGCGCCGCCTATTTTCCCCTTGTACCTGCAGTAGCGGTCGTTAATCTTTCATGTTGGGAACGGGAAAGCTGTTCTATTGGAACTACTACGAAGAAGCGACACCAGCAGCACGACCAGCAAAGCTCAGCTGACCATGCGATGGGCTGTGCTGGCCCAACATCAACCAGGCTTCGACTGTGCGTGTCTTGGTTCGCGAGCTACCTGTATTCGTACACGTCTACTGCCCATCACACCCGAGCTTGGAGGTCCGGGCGTCCGCAGCTCGCTCGCTCGATGAGATCCCTGTTCAGAAGTATCGAAGGTGTGGTGTGATCGTCAGGGGTGGTTGTTGCTCGTCAGCCGGCCCCCTTGCTCAACACCACGTGGGAAATACGGTGAACTGAGCCCAAGTCAGCGGGCGCCTTTTGGCTTCCCGAGCTTTGGGGGCCACTTTATCATCATTATTGGGGGGAAACGGTGGACACTTGGGGGCTTGCGTCGCACCTCGTGTCACTGCGGACTTTGCGGAGCGAGAGAGGAGAGAGAGAGAGGGAGCATGTTTCAGATGCCTATGTATTGCCTGCCGTCTCTGAATCCTCATTGGTCACACAACGAAGCAATGGCTACGATCCTCTCTTGACACTGGACAGAAGCGACGATGCCGAGGCTGCCGAGTCTGTGTGGCTTGGCCTCCTAAGCTGACTATATCGAGATTGAGAGACACGTCAACAGCGTCAAAGAAAGACCCGCGGGGTACTGAGTACACTTGGGGGCGGAGCGGCTGTGTGAGGGCATTCAAAACGGACGCCAGGCTGGCTGGGATTTCTGAGATGTGAGATGGGTGCGACGGTCACTCGGCCGATGAAGCAGCTTCCCGAGACCACCGGTGGTGGGTGACCATTGATGGCACCAGGATCTTATCAGTTACCTCAACTCGGGCGATAATGTCACCATCGCAACAAAAGCCACGGGTACGACGCGCCAGCCGCAGCAACCAATACATGACGGAATCTGTCGGCCTGCATATGCCGTGGACCGTGGCACTACCTACGGATACACTATCAAGCATCAACTCTATCATGTCTGACCTGGCTTCAACCCCCAGAATATTGATGCCAGGTTTCTCCTTTGCGGTATTAGTCCGACGGCGGCATTCCTGCAGGTTTCTGAACGAGGATACACGGCATACACTTTAAAAACGCCATGTTTTGCACGCACCCTAACCGAAGATGCTGGGACCTGCAGAAATGGCGTGCACGGACGAGGCGTCCACCTATTTGGACCATCCGTTTTGGCTGGGGAGAGATCTCCTACACCTCATGCCGCTCGAAGAGCTGAGGCAAGCAGGGGAATGCGGTGGCAAAGGCGCTATTGATTCGTCATCTTTGCGGTCTTCAGGTTGTGACAGGGCTTCCAGTCGAGCAAGAGTAGGTTGTACAGATAGGCTCCAGGTCATGTCTCTGGGCAGAAGAATCAACCAACTCGCATGAAGCGCTTCGCTTCAGCCACTCGAACCATCTGTGCCTCTTGTCTTTTTGATACCCGTCGCCTGAACGGACTCGTCACAGACTCAATATGATCATGGTACGACTTGTCAATTCCTACGCCAGATGCACACCAGATCAGGCATCAGCTGAACATTCTCGATCGCGGAGGTCGCCGGTGAACGCAGACAGACAGCTCTGGGTCCTCGTCAGCCTGTCTCGCGGAGAACAGACCTTCAATCAGAGGGCATGACTTTGAGGGCGTTGAGACAATGCCAATGTTTTGTCCTCGCAACATACAAAATAGGCAATGCTGTGTCCGCCGCAGTGGCCCGCCGTTCGTTCATGAATGTCAAATCACGCGGCTCAAACCAGGAACAATAATAGCACACATCAGATAATCATTCTTTACCGTTCGTTTCCACATCTTGGCACCGTCTCAGCCGGTGAGACCACCGTACGCTCCTCGTCCGATCCCTCGAGGACTCTTGATCTAAGGTGAGGGACCGTCAGGCAAAGAATGCGGTAAGAAAGGTCTGGAGAAACCGGAGAAGCCTGATCTTGACACGCCTTGCGAACATGCCCGTCATGAGGGAGGTGGTTTGCACCTGGTCCCGGCATGCCAAACGATTATGAAGCCCCGTATCCCCGGTTTCCACTCTGCAGCCCGACCTAGCGGCGTATGCGTGCTCGGTCGGGCGAATG